CCAATCTGTCTCTGGTGAAGCCTCTCACCCTCCGCATCTCTGGCCTGTACCCCAGTTCTGTATGAATAAATAAATCTTTAAAAAATATATATATATATATAAAAATATATAAAAGTAAGCATAGGAACTAGATAGACGTACAAATAAGCCAGCTTGAAAAAGTGCTCAATTTCCATCATCATCAGGGAAATGCAGATGGAAATCACAATGAGATAGCACATCGTACCTGAGGAAAGGCTAGCATCAAAAGTGCAAGAGATGAAAGTGTTGGCTGGCCAGGATGTGGAGAAAAGGGACTCCTGCGCACTGGTAGTGGCAGTGCAGACTGGCACCACTATTACAGAGCTCTAGTAGTATTAAACAGCATCATTATATTAAAAATAGGGTCTCAGCTGGTCAAATGGGCAGAGCTGACAGGAGGCCTTTTCCAACCAAATCTTTTTTTTTAATTGTAATAGTTTATTTTTACATCATTTTGTGCCCTTTTCCAGCTCAGTTGTCATCCCCTTGGGCTTCCCATCACCAAATCACCCGTGTGCCATCACCACAGTCCCGTGCACTCCCCCCACCCGCATTTTTGATCCCATTCCCCGCTCCACCCCCAGAAAATGTCTCTGGCATATAGTAGTTCATTATTCTTATTATTTTCTCTCCTGGTCCTTTGTACTCCTGCTATGAGTGAAACCATCCGGTATTTTTTCCTTTTCTTTCTGGCTTATCTCACTAAGCACGATCTTCTCCAGCTCCATCCATGTTGTATCTCACTAAGCACGATCTTCTCCAGCTCCATCCATGTTGCTGCAAAAGGCATGTGTTTCTTTTTTTTTTTTTTTTTTGGTTGCTGAGTAATATTCCACTGTGTGTATGGACAACATCTTTTTCATCCAGTCATCCACTTTTGGGCATTTGGGCTGTTTCCATGTCTTTCCAGTTGTGAATAAAGCAGCAATAAACATGGGGGTGCAGGTGTCTTTTTGAATCAGTGCTTTTGTGTCTTTGGGTAGATTCCTAGGAGTGGGGGATTGCTGGGTCCTATGGAAGCTTCATGTTTCACAGTTTGAGGAACCTCCAAACAGCTTTCCATAGTGCCAACCAAATCTTTGTAGTGAAAGAGTTCAGAGCCAAGATGAGGGCCTCGCGAGTGAGGACTGGAGGGTTCACTCTCCCCTCTGTGTATTCAAAGACTCCAGTTCTAAACCTGTGACAGTTCTGTGGGACACAAGGGCACGGAGGTGGGTGTGATGGCCTTCTTGGTTGTCTGGAAGGTGAGGTCCTCAGTCTGGGAGGCAAATTCATGTAGGCAGAGGAAGAGATCTCAAACTGCCCAGAACAGAGGAGGTCCTGAGGGAGGGCAGATGGACCCACTTCCTACCAGGGCACCTGAGTGTAGGAGCTGGGAGTCAGTCCCAGAGAGGGGGCTCTTTGCTGACTGAAGTCAAGGCAAGGACTTCCAGGAAGGACCAAAGACAGTAAAGTCCAGACCAGAGAGGAGCCTGCTGCTGTCAGAGTGCAGGGAAGACCACACAGCGCCTTGACTCTGCACTGGGTCTCGGAGAGATTATGGACTCGATCTAAGGAGCAGAGCCTCTGGTCCACTGAGTGGGGGGACATATGCTTCACCGGCATTCAAGGTGAAGACTCTGAGAGAGTCTAGTGGGACCCAATTCCTCCATGTGGAGCTGGGGGCGGGGGGAGTCTAACGGTAGCAAAATCAGGTCTGCCTAAGGAGATAAGGCCACATGCTTCAGGTTGTGGACCCCGAGGGAGGATGGAGGACAATGAACTCCAGGACTGAGGGGACCCACGATGCCTACCCTTCTTGTCAGAGAGTAGTGCTGAGCACATGGCATTCCGGCATCAGCACCCTGACCTGTAGTCACTGCAGACTTGGTATAAAGAGCCTCAGTTTAGCAGAGGAAGTTTCCAGGTCCTCCCGTGTTAACGTGAGCGCTTTGAGGTTGACCATGGAGCTGCACACCAATTAGGCTTCTCTTGAAGTGCCCGGAAAACTCAGGGACAGTCAGGTGGGTTTGAGGGACAGTGATGCAGGGCAGTAAGAGCCGCACTAGGCCCCGCCAGGATTGTAGCTGGGACCTAGAGCGGGGGAGGACCAGGAAGCAGAGAGAGACCCTTGCTCTGGGAGGCACTGCGGCAGGGGAGCAGGTGACCTACTTTTATTGTGCTTTCACATTTTTGCCAAAGTTCTTTATTCATTTGGGGCAGATCAACTATATCTCTCCATCTCTGAATTTCTTTGCAGTGTCTGTTTAAAACGAACTTTAATTTTAGGGTAGTTTTGGATTTACAGCAATATTGCAGAGATGGGGCGCAGCACCCTAAGCACACAGCAGGTGGAGCTGTGGAAGACACTTCTCGTGGATGGAGGTTCAAGAGTGAACCCTACTGCCCTAGCTGGTCCCCTCAGAAGCGCAGCCTCCCCAGCGCAGCCCCACTGCTCAGCTCCTCAGTGATGATCACTGTGAGGACACCAGGTGTCCAAGTCGGGGAGTCTACTGGTGAGGAGCCTCCGAACTGCTGCGCTGGCTGTGCCCACCATCCGGGGCACGGCAGTTTCCCACCCAGCGCCTGTCTTGGGACTCAGCTGCTCTCTGAGGGGGCGGGTCGGGGACTGAGGACTGGGGGACTACCTAGAACGTATTACATCTTCAGAAAAGGGAGAACCCACAAAACAGGCTCCACCAGATAAAATTTCTGAGGTCCCTCCATCCCCCCGGGCAGGGTGTTTAGGGTGATACTCAACCATTCCCCCTCTTCAGGGAATTTTAAGAGTCAGAGGTTTGTTTTCAGGGGTACACACTCAGGTGACAGAGGACAGGCCCGGCCCCTGGTGAGTAAAGGCAAAAATCAGAAGGAGGACAGAGAAGTCCAGCGGAACCCATTTCTGCCCCTCCTGGCGCCGGGGGACCCCAGGCGTTCTGCAGCGGATGTGACGTCGACTGACTTCCGCTTGGTGATTTGACAGCCTTGGTCTGAGGGGCAAGGCCCAGTAAGCAGAGGGAGAGACCCGGTCCTGACTCCGTCAAGGTGAGGACTAGAGGAAGGACTGAGATACTGGCTGTGTTAAATATGTGCGGGACTCGGGCAGGGTGGTCAGGATGAATATTCTCCATCCCCGCCCCCATCGTCAGGGAACTGCGGAAGTCAGAGACTTCATCTGAGGGATGCAGGCTCTGGTGGGCAGGCTTTGGGGACCATCCCTGACTGAATCCTGTTAGGATTCTGAGGGAGAACTGAGTGGGCCCCAGGAAACCCCTCTCCAACACTGACGATAGCCCTGGGGGGACTCTGAAGTGTTGTGCAGCTGTAACACCCACTAAGTTCCTCCCTTAATGTCTGCGATGTGAGCATCCTGATCTAGAAGGTGGCTTCAGGTAGGTAAGTGGGGGAGCCCAATCCTACTTGAGTCCTATAAAGACCAACAGAGGCCAAAGGGGAACCACAGATGCTCCCCATAGAATACCTGAGCAATCCAGTAGGGTTGCCATGGTGATGATAACTCCCCACCTTCTCAGAGAACTTAGGGAGTCAAAGCCTTGGCCTAGAGGATTTTGAGGGAAGATTGAGGACCTGGACCTGCGAACTGAGAAGACCTCACAAACTCCCAAACCTGTGGTCAGTTTTGCACTGGCCATTTGTAGGCCTGACTTCTGGTTCTGAGCTACTGGGGACTTAGTAGTAGAAGCAGGGGAGTCTGATCAGCAGAAAGGGTATAGAAGAGACCAGTTCCTGTCCAGAATTAATGGGAGGCTTTGAGGGAGGACTGAGAGACCCAGGGACCACAGAATCTGCTGGCAGTCATGGCAGAAATCAAGGCAGGATAGCCACTTGTGGTGTTTCCTAACTTCTACATTAGGGATGAAGAGGGACTAGGAACTGGATCTAAGGCGTAGGGCCTCATAACAACAGAGCTGGGGGCAGGGAGGGACAAAAACCTCACTTGGAGGAAGGTGAAGACCTGAGGGAGGACCTTGGAACCTAGAGCTGAGAGACCTCACAAAGGTCTACCAATGATGTCAAACCTGGCGTCCTGACTTCTGCATCCGGGTCTGGCTGAGGGACTCTGGGCACCTGGTATAAGGAGCCTTAGGTCAATACAGAGGTTCCAGGCCCTTCTTGAATCGAGGTGAGGACCCCAGGGAGGACCCCAGAACAGTGTCAGCACCGGGAGGCCCTGGAGCCACTCCACAATGGGGCTTCTGAACCCCCCTGAAAATCTCAAGGAGGGCTGGGGTTTGGGGCAGGGGTGTCGTCAGGGGGCCTTGGTGGATGGAGTGTGGCCTCAGCTTGGCAGAGGGAGGAAAGCAGGCCCCTAGGGAGGACAGCCCGATGGTGCAGTGGAAGGTCCCGCCTGCCCTAGAGAGAGCACGGAGTCCCCCTGTGCCCTGTCTCAGCCAGGAAGGACCCAGTCACTAGTGGCCCAAGTGCAGGTTCCTGTGGACCATGGTGGGAAGGGGGGAGGCCACAGGGAGTGAGGTCTTGCCAAGGGGGTGTCGAGTCATCCTGCAGAGGGGGTGGGGCAGACCTGGTGGGAATGAGGATAGCTAACCCATCCCAGGACAGAGGGGCCGCACCTGACAGTCTCTTCTGATCACTGTGTTTGGGGGAGCGGGTGGAATTGGCCTCCTCATCTTCCTTTTGTGATGTCAGGGAGGAGATTATCTTGTCTGAGAGGACCACGCCAGGTCATTAGGGGAGCTACATCTTGTCACCTGAGATAGGAGTTTGTGAAGTCCTGTGGAGAGTCCAGGTGAGGACCTTGAGAAAGGAATGATTATACCTCAAATTCTAGGTCAAAGTGGGGGGTCTTGGGATACTGGGATGCCCCTCCTGCCAGCCATGGGAACCCAGGGCAGGGCTATCGGGCTGGGTCCCAGCTCCGAGGTCAGGAGGGAAGCGCTTGGTCAGCGGGTCTGGACTCCGGCCAGCTGAGGGAATCCCAGGCCCTGGCAGGGCTCCAGGTGAGCCCCCAGCATTCCGCCATGCAGGACCCTGGAGCTCTGGGCAAGTGTGGCCAGATGAGGGGCCCTTGTTGCTGTGTTCTGCCTCAGGTGCGTGGCCAGTTCTGAGTTTTACATCAGGCCCTCAGAGGGGCACTAGGAGGAAGGTGAGGCTACCGAGCGAGCACAGACCGAACCTGTGACTCCAGAAAAGAGGAGCCCACAGTTTTTGAAACCGCCCCCCCCAGTCAGCCTAGAGCCTCGGGTTTGTGGCACCTGCACCCTGAAGAGCCATCTCACTTTCTCCTTCAGGTTCTTGGGGTCATCCCCCAGGAAGACAGGGGTGAGGCCCCAGAGCGCCCCTCAGTGCCTGTAAGTCACCATCGTCAGCCCCGTCCAGGGTGTGATTCTCAGCAGAGGCCGCGCCCTCCTCTACCCACAGGCCCCGGGATCCTTTGAGCCACCTCCTGCCACGCCTACCCATTATCCTGCAGGTGTCATCATGCCCATGGACCAGAAGGATGAGTTCAGCAAGCTTCAGGTAGACCATCAGGAGCCAAGACAGGCCCACAACCTGCAGGATGAGGCTTTCTTACAGCTGCCCTGGGCTGAGGATGAAGAGGAGGTCACTTCCACCTCCTCCTCCTCTTCCACTGCCTCCTTTTCCTCCCCTGTCCTGTTCCAGGACTTCTCAGAGGAGGAGGCCGCTGCCTGGACTCTTAGTGCTCCCCAAAGCTCTCCCAGTGCCTACCCTAGGGCTCTGGCTGACACGCTATGGAGCCAATCCCAGGAGAACACCAGGAACCTGGGTGACGACGGGCCAGGCATCTCGCAGGAGCTAGCAAGAGCCTGGGCCTCCTATGAGGAAGAACTGCATGAGAAAATGGCTGACCTAGTATGGTTCTTGCTGCTAAAATACCGTACCAAAGAGCCAACCAGCAAGGCTGAGATGCTGATAGAAGTGCTCAGGAATGACTACGAGCACTTCCCGGTGATATTTAGCCATGCTTGCGAGTGTGTGCAACTGGTCTTTGGCCTTGATGTGCAGGAGGCTGACCCCGGCAGCCATTCGTATGAACTGTCCATCACCCTGGGCCTCACGTACGATGGGCTGCTGAGCCCCGAGCAGACCATGCCCAAGACAGGCCTGCTGGTCATCGTCCTGGGCGTGATCCTCCTCGAGGGGTACTGCACATCTGAGGAGCACATGTGGGAGACTCTTGGGGTGATGGGAGTGTGCGCCGGCAGTGAGCACTTCATATACGGGGAGCCTCGCGAGCTCCTCACTGAAGAGTGGGTGCAGGAGCAATATCTTGAATACCGGCAGGTTCCCCACTCTTATCCCGCCCGCTACGTCTTTATGTGGGGCCCCCGGGCTCATGCTGAGACAAGCATGATGGAGGTCTTAGAGCGCTTCCTCAAGATAAATAGCTTGGATTCCCGTTGCTTCCTCGCTTTTTCAGAAGAGGGTATGGGCCAAGAGGAAAACGAACCCTGAGCCAGACTAAAGAGAGCAGCGGGGGCTGGGGGAGGGGGGAAGTTAGGGAACAGGGTGCAAAGAATGTTTGGGGTTTTCTCTGTGATGACTTGAGAACTGATAATTCATTAGAAATTTTTTCAAAGCTCCTTAAAAATGTTAATGAAATTCACCATCTATATTTATGAATTAACATTGCTCACACCAGCGTGAACTTACGTAGTCCAAGAGAGAGATCTCTGCTATTTTGTGAAACAATTGATGATCCTTCCATCTTAGTTTGTGATGCAAGCCTAGTTAACTTTTCATTGCAATAAGAATTGCCTTGCCATGTAAAAGAACTTAATGGTAAAATGGACAGTCAAAACAGAGAAATAAAAGTAAATCACACCAAATTCTTGGCTTCCTAACTTTTCTGTGCCATGCTATAAAATAAAATATGGATGTGTCTGTGTCGCGTGGGCTGTTCGGGGAGGAGAGACGCGTCCACGGGAGCCCCGCTCTGGCCAGGCCTGCCCTCACCGGCCCTGAGCCTCTGCTCCTTGGAAGCGCTCGGGACCTGGAAGTTCCTGGGGGGACACGAGGACTGGGTGTGCCCCGCCCACAGTGCCGGGGTAGGAGCCGCAGTCAGGAGCAAGGGGGTGACATGTCCCCCGGAGACAGGAGTCAGGCGGGCAGGACAGGCCTCAGGGAGAGACATCAGTCTAACACACGTCCCCGGTAGCCTGGGGCTTAGGGACCTGTAGTGCCCGCCCGTTTCGCAGGTGAAGAGCCTGGGCCACAGAGCAGGGTCCGGTCCAGCACCGCGTGACTAGGCAGGCAGGAGGCAGGAGCCGCGCCCAGGCCCCTGCCCACCCAGCCCGAGGCCAGGCCGACCTGCCTCCTAACCTCAGCAGCGAATGAAGCTGCCGCGGCCCGGTCGGCATTGATTCCGCTCGGAGCCCCCGTCCATCCCGGGCCCCTGGAGAGCTGACTGCCCAGCGGCCGGCACGCCGGGCCCGTGCAGGACCT